CTTGGAAAGCAAAGAAAACCAAGCAGAACAACTATAAGTTGAACGAGGATGAGGTGGAGGAGGTGGAGAAGCTGGTGAGGGAAGATGGAGACGTAGTGGATATCTTGTACCTCACCAGTCCTAAGGCAATAGAGGCTGTTGAACTCTATGGGCCAAGCTCATTGAGCGAAGGTTTGTGTATGTTTATATTGTACCACTTACTTGAATTTCTAGCTATTGTGTTTTAACACTTGTTTTTGCTCTGCAGCTGAGATGGACGAATTTATCAATGCTGCTGGAGGGCTGCGCATCCCCAAGAAGCCAAGGAAGAAGTCAAAGACTTCGACTGCGGCAGACAAAGGGGCGGCAGACAAAGGGGCAGCAGAGAAAGAGTGCCTGCCCAGCACTTTTGCTCGAGTGCTGGAGATACAGCAGAGACCAGAGCCTGCAAGGGGGGATAGTGAGGATGTGAGTGAGGAGGTGGCACCACTCCAGAGGAAGAAGAGGAAGGTGGCTGAACCAGAGGTGAGGGGGGATGAGGTGACTGAGTTCGTGCCTCGCCCCTCTGCTCTTGAAATCAATCCTGAGGTCAGGGAGAGGGAAGGGGCCGAGGTGCGAGGCCCTGGCGGGGGCAAGGAGCTCATCCCTCCTCATTTGTACAAGAAGAGTTTGTTTGAGGCGGCAAACACGACTAGGGCGAAGCACTTCCTCAACTGTACTCTCCCTGAGGTGGATAGAAGGCGGGCGAAGGATGAGGCGGTGAGCCGGCTGGGAGCTACTGTGGTGAGGCATGCCTTGGAGGTATGTAAGGGATATGTAGGTTAGTCCTGCTTTAATTTTACTCCTGTGTTTGAGGTCTGACTTCTGCTTACCTTGTAGAGTGCAAGCTGGACAAACGCTCTAGCGCAGGAGTATGCGGAGAGTGTGAGAGATCGTGCCAGCTTGCAGAGGCAGTGCGAGCAGCTGCAGAAGGAGAGGGAGGAGCTGCAAATGGAGAAGGAGGAGTGGCAAAAGGAAAGGAGGGAGATGCAGAGGAGGCTGGATGAGGTTCTTTCTTTAGTTACCGAACTCCAGAACGACAATGATGTCCTGAGCACGAAACTCGTTCTCGAAGAACGCAAGAGGAAGATCTGCGAAGACAAGCTCGAGGCTCAGGATAAATATATTGAGAACATGAAGAAAGGAGCAGCGGAGCTGAAGAAGAATGTGAACCTGTTGGTTCACAATGGGATGGAGGAGCATATTGGGAACTTCCTCAACTCCAGCACGTTCGAGAACATCATCAACCTCTACCGGCTGCCTACCGCCATCGTGCCCTTCACCGACTGTAGAAAGAAGGTGAAGGCCTAGTATCTGGAGGTGGACGTGACAACGGTCACTTTTGGGGAGCAAGAAGAAGGGGTGGAGGAAGATGGTGAGAGCCTCTCTGCTGACTTCTGGCCTCAGATTACGCTAAGGTGGGAGCGTGATGCAGAGGGGCGCACCATTTTTCCTCCAGCCTTTGATGCTGATTTAGTGGCCGTGGAGGAAGAAGAAGAAGAAGAAGAAGGAGCGCAAGGCGCTGGAGTTGAGGATCAGGCAGCAATGGCCGAAGTGCGGCCTCCTGAGGTGCA